GGGGGGGGAAAAGCGGAGGAAGGTGGGAGCCATGAGAAACCCTCCCTTCCCCAGGCACCAACTGGGAGCAGCCATCACAGAAAGCGGTGCAGGGTGTGGAGGGCCTCACCCCTGACCCCCGGGAATCCCAAAGGCTGAAGCGGTTTGGCCACAGCTTCCCTCTGCGTGCAGCTGGGCTGACCTTTCTGCAATTCTCCGGCTGTGTTTTCCTTTCCCTAGCGACTCCCCACCCCAGGCAAGACACTGAGCCAGCATTCAGAAGGGCTATTGTGATTAATAATTAATTAATTAATTAATTAATTAATTAATTAAGGGGGGAAGGGCACTGGGTCCATGGAGAAGTCAGAAACAACCACAAGAACTTAAGCCCAGATCCAAGGTGGAAAAACAGGAGGAATCTGGAAACCCCTTTTCAGACTAGCACATTTTATTCACAAAAGCTTCTTGCCACGGTACTGATAAGTGTAAAACAGAAGGTAGATTTTTTTTCCCTTTCTTAGCTTGCACTTTCACGTTGTATTTTTAATTGTTTTCATTTTCCCTTTCTTTAAGGTTAAAGATTGTAAATGGTGCGTATAAACTAAGCAAGTAATTATTTCGTTGCTCTGTGTTGAGACCGGCAGCTATATAAACGGGGTGCGTAAATAGATAAAAATAAATAAATATGTATAAGTAATTTGAAAAAGGTGAAAGCAAGAATAACAACTTAAAACAACTGTGAACGCTTGTGCCTTGGAATGCAATCTGTCGGTCTGAAAAGGTGCTACCAGCCTCCTGAGTTTTGGCTAAAACAGGCAAGCCTGGCTCTCCTCCTCAACGCCTACGCTGAGAAGCACCGGATTTGCTGATCCGGGGCCGACTTGCTCTCCTGGCCCCCCCCGCCCCCAAAGAGAGCAGACAGGAATGACTAAAAGTGGAGATTCAGATCCAAGGAATGTCTAAGAAAAGGCAGCCGTGCTTTCAAGCAGGAGTGATGACGGCTGATTGAAAGACGGGATTCGCCAGTCCTCCTGTGCCCCGGGCCGTTGCTTTGCAGAATTCCTGAACCCCCCGCCCCCCCGAAGCCGAGAGGAAATCCCATTAGGACGAGTAAGAGAAAGATGGCGCAATGGGAACCCCTGTCCCTTTGCAGGGGCTGGAAGGACTCGCTGACCTCTTAAGGCAGAAGGCAGGGCAAGACGATCTCTTATATGCATTTATATCCTGCCTTTTCTCCCGGAGCAGCTTGAGGAGGAGGATCGGTTTTCGTTTTATCCCAACAACAACCCTGTGAGGTGGGCTGGCTGAGGGAGAGGGAGAGGGAGGGAGGGGGTGGGTGTGACCGGACCCAAGGCCCTAATGCCGGAGCTGCAAGAAGCTGGCCGCTGGGGGTTTCTGAATCGCGTGGGTGCCTCTAGCAGGTCTCTGCATTTTTGCAAACGGAGAGTTAAAAAACAAATCCGAATTTAGTCTTTTGTTCTTTGACAAGGTATAACATCATGCCGTCGGATTAAACGGAATGGCGAGATTTGTTGCGTTTCCCTTAAAAAAATATAAATAACGGTGGCATAATCTACCATATTATGCATTATTTGCTAGATGTATATCCTGCGTTTCCCCTGCAAGCTCACAAAGGGCCCCCAGCATCATTGCCCTGCCCCACAACAATAACCCTGTGAGGTAGGCTGGGCTGAAAGGTGGGGGACACTCGGTGAGTTCCCATGGCCGTGGGAAGGCTCGAACCTGCATCCCCCTGGCCTGAGTCCAACATCTTAACCCTCCTACCACAACGGGCAGTTTTCAGAGCCATATGAGTCACCTGTTGGTGCACTTTCCATAGATGGGTTCGCCTGGCACTACCTTTTCTAACGCATTTACTTGCACAACAAATACACAGCCCTAATTCTCCATCGGGCCACCTGCGGTACACGTGAACTGCTCTCCGTCACGCACCTAAGGAAGGGGAAGCATTCTCAAGTGAAACTGCCCTCGGGTCAAGCTTGACTCCTGGCATCTTCACGGGCACACAAAGGTGGCTTGTCTTTATCACCGTCTGTGATTTTTTTGTTTTCAATTCCCCCACTTAGCCTATAGGCCTGGGACTTCCTGGTGGTCTCCCATCCAAAGACAGAACAAGTCCAAACCTGCTTAGCTTTACAGAGATCAACCAACGTTGCCAAAGCATGAGCAGAAATGGAAGATTAAGTCAAAGTCGAAGTAATCTTTATTGTCATTGTACTTCTCGTACAACGAAATTAAATGCCACCCCAGTGCAG